ATGAAAGGCTTTGCGGAGTATAGTATGTCCTTGCGTTCCCTAACGCGAGTCCGAGTTGCATTCGTTGATTTCGAATGTGTAGTTATTAGCGAACGTCAGACCATTGGACGAAAATGGAGATCTACCTCACATATATGATATGGTCGAAGCGAAGTGATGTCGCCAAGAAAACCTACGTTTCATCAGCGAGAGTTCTTAAGCCTGTATAAAACCGAACTACTCAGTGTCAGAAGAGTGTCCTATTACGACAGTTTGAACGCAACTCACCTTTCCACGCATTCTCTGAACACTTAGTGTGCCGCTTCAGAGCTTTGTGGATGCTCCCGAAGCCTGCTACTGCCCCTTTCCCATCTAGAGCGCTTCTTCTGTGAGTGAAATTGAGATCGTCGATGAGGCGTGCAGTTTGATCTTAGAGCATGAAAAGGTTCAGAGCCGCCGCGAGCACACTAGGGAGGGCACGTACCCTGTCATTGTTGTGAACATGTTCGCTGCCAGTGCCCAGTGGAGCAAAATTTCCTCGATTATTTGAATGTAGCCAGCGAAGAGATGGCGCACTGACGTCGAGGCGGCCTTCGAACAGGTTCGAATGTCCAAGAAAGAAAGCCTAAGGATGCCGAGTGGTTCACTCGAGACAGAGAAAGCAGGATGAACGTCCGGGCACACAGATACCCGATGAGCGTGAGGTTAAACTCTCCTTCTGGAGAACAGTGCGGTGCGAATGTGATCAGAGAAGAGGTCGTCCAAACCTCGTCTCAATTTACGCAGATCGGAAGATTCCGGTACACACTTGGCGGATCACGCCGAGCGGGCACCGGCCCGTCGCCATGTAACATGTTCATACGGATACGACAGAACAAGCAGTCTTATAACATTTTATGGGCATTAATTATACTCTATTTAATTGTGTACGCGATTTATTAAAGCTTAGGACTTGCCCAAACAATTTTGGCACTTCCCTTGAGGTCCAAAGCATGGGCCGGGAAACTCATTGAGGCGGCGATTTCAATTACTACACATTATTCCTGCTTTAACATTAGACGAACGGCTGCCCAAAGAAAGAACACAAATACATTATCACAAGCTCAAATTGTTGAGAAAGTTCGAGACACTATCACGGTCGAGTAAACCCCATTCCGAGCGAAAGGTCTGAGAGAATGTGGCTGCGCTAAAACGCCAAGTATCAAGCATGGCGCTTGCACTCCGCAATCCCGTTTCGATCCCGTTTAACTCGCCTTCACATTACCTTTAATAGCTTTTAAGTACTCAGATCAATTTAAGCCATTCAACTCTAATGGAATACAGGTAAATATCGATTAACGCCTGGTTATGTGCTTCCAGGCAGCGGAATTCTAGTTCGACTGTGCACCTGGCGAGCGCCTAAATTACACGGTCTTCGTGTGCAAAATTCTCTACCTCCTTCACCTCCTTCACCTTTCTCCTGACTTTCTCCTGATTATTCTCCTCTTCCTGCCCTTCTTTACGACTGACTTTCAACTCTCGTTTTCTCTTTCCGTGGGGAGTGTTCAAGGTAACATCTCGCAGCGGAGCCAACTCTGGTTCTTCGGCGAGCAAAATGGCTTCTTCAGCGTTCACTTCGATAATTTCTCCGGTTTGAGCTGCCTCGCCTCGTAACTCATTCTCCAGGGCACCGATCGCTGTGTCGATGACCTTGAGGTATCCCTCGTAATGCTTCTTCGCGTCTTTATCAATTTGCCGCCAACAGACGTCGCCACTGTCATCTGCGAGAGCGAGAAGAGTTTCATGGAATTTATCCTCAATGTCGTCCAGGTAGTTGTACAGATCGAGAATGAGGCGATCAAATACAGGACCAAAGAAGAATGGAACCTTGTGGTCGCCGCGTTGCAAGCCAGAAAGGAACTTACACTTTGAGCGAAAGGAGGTGAGTTCAGTGTCTTCCCACGCGTCCAGCATTTCGTAGTATTCTTTTCTCGTGCCCTCGGCCCCGAAGCACGTCCAGCAGAGGCAGTAAAAGAACGACCAGAGATCATCCAAATGAGTCTGGAAATCGCACCGAGGTTCCTTCGGTGGACCCACGAGGCGCAACGTCATGCGTGAAAACGATAATAGGTGCGCTGACATGAATCCTAGCGTTCCCTGGAAGGCGGCAGAAATCAAAGAATGTAGCTCACAAAGTAACAACATAAATATCTTACCACATCAGCAGAAGCCTTCGGAAGAGGCTGGTCCGGTTCCAACAGAACAGCTATGTCCAGATCGATGGCAATGCCGCGTTCACCCACCGGCGCGCCGGTGTTTCCGAGGAGGATGTTATTTAGTGATATATCGCGATGGAGGATTCCTCGATCCCACAGCTTCTGGTGACCTAGGCCATATTATGGCTCGAATAAATAGAATATAAATTATCATGAGGCGCTCACCTGCGACTGCGTCATGAAACGCGTACAACAGCTGCGCGCCATTCTCGCAATAATCAATTGCACCCCCATACGCTTTCAATGTAATGCGAACGCGAACGCGATTCACGAATACGGGCTGACGGAAGGGATGCCTGAGGCATTTTAAACTGCAGCCGGATTCGTACGAGACCATCTGTACGACGCCTGGCGCTCCCTTCGTACGCTTCAGCATTTCCCACTCGGGGGGACTATCAGAGACCTCGTCTC